TTTTTTCATTTGGGCTAGTTATCTTATTACATGATACCAACGAAGAGGTAATGCAATTGTAACATGAAGAGGAAGATGAGTAATGTGTATTAGAAAGCAATAAGCATATACAATGGAAGGTGTTGAGAGCTCTACTATGGTTTCTCCTGTTGTTTCTATGAAGGAGGCAAGTCTCTTGCTATGTAGCACTTGAAAGGTTAAACAAAAGGCTAATGCAGATGATGTTATGGTATCTGATATTGACACTGATTAGGATGAGGGTACTTTTATATGGATAAGTTGTTGTAAAATGGAGGTTTCGATCCCTTTTTCAAGGTTTGATGGTCAATGTTTTGGGAAGCTAGATGAGGAGGTTCCACCGCTACCAATATCACAAGATGATTTGACCAAGATCCCAAAAGTGTTGATTATTGATGAAAAGTTTAATGGTATAAACCTTGGAAGGGTTCCTTGATGGTCGAGATGCTTGTAAAAAGGGTTGTGTTTCATCAGCTAAAGACAAAACTTAATCAAGATTGGGCATGTAAAAGTAGAACATATCAACTTTCTCACCAATACCATGATTTTTATACAAGTTAACATGAATGAGAATGTCTTAAAAGTTAAAACATTAATTTCAATACTCTTTCTTCTTTATTATTAGGAATGTTTGTCTGTTTTAAAATTGATGATCCAAATTAAACTAAATAAATTAATTTAATTTTTTAATTAGATTAAATTTAATTTAAATCAATTAAGTTCAACCTTAATCACATGACTCTATGCAGTAGATTCATGTGAAAAGGTTAGTGAAAAATTGAATATGGAGTGAAAATTGGTCTAACCCGCATCCTACTTCACCAAAAAATAAAGTCAAGGATGAAGTTAACAGAAACGTCAATGTACTCCACACTATCCTAAGATATTTATAAAGGTATAAAAAAATTGGTCCCTTTTGTTTGCATGTTTATAATTAGTGAAATATAATTTTATGTCAATAAAAAAATATTATCTTTCAACTATGAATGATTATTCTATGGATACATGCCTAGCTTACTATGTTGGTCCCTACGGTTAGAATCTAGAAGGGGGGGTTGCTTTTATAAATAGTTTGAACTTTTAGAAACTTCAGACATGAGTTAGAACTGAGAATCAAATTTAGAAAAACATTTTTGTGAAGTCTTTGTGACCATCTTGGATAGTTTTCTTTGTGAATCCAAGAAGAAAAACGTTTGTGAAAAACTTTGAAAGAAGATCATCATCATCATCACATTCTTGAAAGGGGAAGATTATGATTTGCTTCTGAATTCTAGGTGCATTCGTTCCTTTATTCTTTGTGAATACGTGTAAAAATCTTGAGAAGGGTTTCTCAAGTGGTAAGGATTCTTGTAGTGGGTTTCTACAAGGGGTGCTTTCTTAGGGTCAAGAAAGTGGTTATCTTAAGTGTTGAAGTTTATGCATGTGTTGTATGCTTGTAAACCTTCTTCATTGAGATAGTGGAACAAATCTTGATCAGGTGTTGATTAAGGATTGGATGTAGGTCACATGTGGAGTGGCTGAACCAGTATAAAAGACTTGTGCAATCTTCTTCTACCTTTATCTTTTACTTTGAGTAATATCTTGGTTGAACATTAAAGAAGATAATTCTTGATTAACATGTGTGTGTGAATATTGATGGTTTAATCTGAATTTAAAGCATTACATTTGAACCTCATTATTTTGTAATCAAGAAAACATATAACATTCATTTTTCTATAAACAAGTCTTTGAAGAAACTTCATTGAAAATTCAGTCTTAGAAAAGTTTAAGTGAAATAAAGATCCTAAATACTCT